CCCCCCCCCCCCCCCCCCCCCCTCAGGCAAAGAGAAGGAACGCTTCACGCTCGTTCTGGCTTTCATGGCGGACGGCAAAAAGGTTTCGCCGCACATCATCTTCAAGGGCAAGCCGTTCACCCCCCCGGCCGTGAGCGGCAAGGGCAAGAGCACCCTGCCGCGGAAGAACTACGTCGCGTGGGAGATCCATCCTGCGAACCGCGCCAAGCACGGCTACCCTGCCAACGGCATGTCCTTCGGCGTGCAGGAGAAGAGCTGGAGTGACCAGCGGGAGTGCAACGGGTGGATCTCGGGCAGCTGGAAGCTCCGTCCCAACAACGCAAGCATTGCCCACCAGCGCCCGTGCATCCTGGTGCTGGACGACTTCAAGTGCCACAAGGACGAGGCTTTCATCGCCGCCCTCAAGAGAGACGCCAACACCATCATCATCTTAATCCCAGGCGGGGGGGGACGCCTTGCTCCAACCGCTCGACCGCATGCTCAACAAGAAGATGAAGCGGCTGCTGCGGGGCAAGCACACCGCTAACAGCGCGTCGGCGGTCGCACACGCCCGGTCGGGGAAGCTGAAGCCACCGGAGCGTGGGGTCGTCTCTACGTGGTGCAAGGAAGCATGGGAGTCCGTCACCTCCGAGACGGTGAAGACTTGCTTCAAGATCTGCGGTCTCACGCTCGCGCTCGACGGCAACAAAAACCACGCCTGGTGCAAGCACAACTTCGGGGAAGACTACCGCGACCTTCTCGAGGAGCAGCACGCCGTGTGGCTCGCTGAGCACCCCGACGTTACTCTCCCGCCGCTCAAGCTGCCGAAGGTACCAAGGGGGGTCGACCCCAACCCCATCACGGCTGCTCAGAAGGAGGTCGAGGGGAAGCTTCTGCCCTACGTTGCTGATGAGAGCGACAGCGAGGTGGAGGTCTTGCAGGGCGACAGCGACGTGGAAGTCGTGGAGGGGCAGGTGGGCGGGGGCGCCGAAGGAACAGTAGTCGAACTTTGAATCATAGTTGTTTGGGATTGCCAGTGAGATTGGATGTTTTTGCGATGGTAGGGGCGCGGGCACGAAGTAGAGTTCAACCCGCATAGGAAATACAGTAGTAGGACGTTGGTAGCTCGTAGTGGTAGTTTGGTGCGATTTTTTACTACGTTTTTGGTTTCATCTGCGTTTAGAAGTGTTAAGTGGATGCCGTTTGCCGATTTGCTGATCTTGATTCTTCAGAACGAAAATTAGAGAACAAAGAGTACAAATACCACATTTATGAACATCGTCATGGTGCCAAGGGCAGCAGTAGCACTGGAGCACGCGATTCAAGCTCCCACAGTATCCGGAATTTTCAGCTCAAGATGCTGGTGAAAGGGTATCACTTACCGCCAAACCTCACCGCACATATCGACGTCTCCGCACAGTGTGGGGAGACGACGATGATACCTGTGCGATAATCTAGCAAATCATTCGGAACGCGCTTGTTTTCCGCATACCCTGTGCCAAGGCCCCGATATGCGCCGAGACCGCGATATATGCCGAGACCCCGATATGTGCCAAGACCCTGATGATTATGGTATTCGATGTTCTGCCGTGCGGTGACGTGGAGGTCGATTTCCGCTCGATTTCCGCCGTCCGTATTGTCGGTGCAGAGAAATTTGTCCAATCACGTTTTGTGCGATAACTTTTTTTGCAAAAGAATTGAAACGTGAAACAACAACAGTCGTGACCGCCTCGTCGAGATACGTCGATAGCCGCAGAGTTCTTTTTATTTTGCAGATATGCAACATTTTTTGACCAAAATGATCCACGGTGTCCGCTAAANTCCACGGAGCGCCCTCCCCCTCCCCCCCAGATTTCCCCCTGCCCCTGTACCGAGACTGCTTTGTACACCACGGACACTACATGTTTCCATTTGTTCAGATTCCACGAAGAATGCCTTGAACACCCGGTAAGTAAAGCAAATACATAGTAACCAATACTGGTATATGTTACAATATGTTGAACACGCGGTAAACAAACCCAGACAACGGAAGAGGGCATATATGGACAAATGTGGGTACAATTGGGACAAAAAAAGTGGGTCAAATTTTGGACATAAGTGGGTACATGAAAAAATTAGTTGACGCCGGTAGGTATGCCCACCGCGATGTCGTACAGAAGTGGGCACTCTGGTGAGGCCCTGCGCGCCTCTGCGGTATTAGGGCCAAAGGTGTGCCTGAAAGTGGGAATCAATCGATGCCCGTGCTGTGTATGGTCCCTGGCTGTGTCGCGCAGGTGTCAGAAAGGGGTTTTGAGTCGTTTGGGGGGCGCCTATGGAGTGCGCGCGCGCTGGATTTTCGAGTACCCACTTTTTTTGTCCGAGAAAGGGGTGGGAACATCCACGTGTGTCCATTTCCCTTTCAAAATCTACTCATGCGTACTCAGCTACTCGAGTACAATCACTCAACCTTGAGTAAATCCTTGAGTAAGTATTTCACAAAAACTCAACTTTCACAAAAGCCGGTGAGTATTTCGAAAATACTTATCATCCGTACTCAAGCGTTTTAGTAGGTATTTCAAACCTACTCAGCCGTACTCACCAACCGAGTTTGAGCATACTCTGCGTACGACGTTCTTGATGTTCGTAACTGATGTAGCCACAGACACCGATGAAGTTGTTATGCCTCACCGCTCCGTTGTTGGCTGCTGAATTCTGGTGTCCAGTTCTTGCTCACGATTGTTGGCTGCTACACGCCGTTGCCTAGCTATTGCCTCATGACGAAATCCCTGCAAGACACGCTGATGTTTTGGCCGTAGCAGACTCTGCCTATAGCATACACCGCTATGCTCGCGACTCATGACGAAATCCCTGCAAGACACCCTGATGTTTTGCCCGCAGCAGATTCTGCCTATAGCATACGCCGCTATTCTCGCGACTGTCGGTAAACTTGTTTGGTGTTTGGTCACTGCTGTACACACACTCCGATGTGATTGTCAGTTGCCTCACACTTACAATTGTTGGCTATTACGCCGTTGTATAGCTATCATTGCACAAGCAGTTGGCCTCATGACGAAATCGCTGCAAGACACGCTGATGTTCTGGCCGCAGCAGACTCTGCCTATAGCGTACGCCGCTATGCTCGTGACTCACGACGAAGTCTCTGCAAGACACGCCGATGTTTTGCCCGCAGCAGATCCTGCCTATATAGCATACGCCGCCATGCTCGAGACCGTCGGTAGAATTGTTCGGTGTTTGGCACTGCGGTACACACGCCGATGTGATTGTCAGCTGCCTCACCGTTACAATTGTTGGCAGTTACACACCGTTGTTGACTTAAGCTATGATTGCACGAGCAGTTGGCCTCATGACGAAATCCGTGCAAGACACGCTGATGTTTTGGCCACAGCATGAAAGGTACTACGCGAGGTGCAGCAAGCACGTTCTGGACGTTGCTTTGGGGCACTGGGTAGTCGGTCGTGTTAGGCCGAGAGAGAGAGAGAGAGGTTGAGAGAGAGTTAGAGAGAGAGTGGGAGAAGGAATCTTGATTGGAGAGAGACGGTGGTGGTGGTGGAGAGAGAGGGAAGAAGTGCGCAGCACGCACGCAAGCCCCATCATCGCACCGACCACGCCCAAAGGGTCCCCGTGACTGCGCCGGTGGTACCCTTCAACACATGAAATTCCCAACACGTATCCCCCTGGGATCCTCACGACCAGATACTGCTGCGAGTATATCCAACATCCCCCCTGCTCGCAACAGCTTCTCACTGAAAATTTCTCTAACACCCGATATCTCAACCAAAAGACGTATTTCCCAGAATATTCACCATGAAGACTTGACCAGAATAATGAAAGCGAGAAAAACAATTCAAAGAAACATGAATGCTGCATCGCGCGTAACGATTACTTGGCGCGGGAAATGAAACAAAACGGGAAACAAAACAAGACCAAAACACAACCCATCAGAACAACAAAAAAATGTTCATGCCAAATTCATCACAAAATCCCGGTGAGACTCGAAAGCATCCTTCGACAAACTCTTTTAAAGGAGTATAAGCCGTGGGCGGTAGCTTGCTCCTAGAGATATATGAAGGTAGGTTCTGT